TCAGGTCTGAGCTCTGCAGTCCTAATACACAAATATTCATATCTGATGTATTTTAGAAAGTGTCCATAAAAACTCAAATTGAATCAACTTTATTTACAAAGCAGTTTACACACAGACAATCCAACGTGCTTAACAACATAAGTTAACCCTTTAATGTCTGTTTGACCACCATCACATGTACAGAGAGAACGTGAGCCAGTCTTAGACTTTAGCTGGATCGAGAACCAGACTGAGCCTCCTGTTGCACTTTGGATGGTGGAGCAGAATCAATCAGTCAGTATTTGGATAACCTCCTCTGTTTGATGGGATTCACGTGACCGCTCTGTCCACACTGTCCTGGAGGTCTGGCTCCTCCCCCTCTGTCATCAGTGCTGTTCCTGTGAGTGAACTAGAGACCAGACTGCTCCTCCTCCTGACATCACTTGATTTAAATATTCAGGTATCCTCATTTTAACTAGCTCAGGTCAGATATTACCTTTCACTTTCCAAACAGCAGCATTTTAACCCAGACACCTCAAAAATACACCAAACTGTTTGTATCTTAGTAGACTTTCATCGTGGCGGCGGTGTAACAGGAAGGAATCTCCTCTAGCCCTCATGGATCACTGTGGACATTTTAGTCCATTTGGTCAAATGTCTCCTCTTCATCTGTCCATCATTTTGTCTGTTAGTGCATATGGAAGACATTTTATAAGAAAGTCTCTCTTGACACATTTTGGAATGAACATTTTAATGTTTTTTAATAGATCAATAGATCACTGAAACATGTTTACAACCCTCTGAAGTCTCTAAGGACAAACATGTCCACTTACAAAATACTGATATAAAAATAGAACAGATTAATATTTTTTTCTACTTTGTTTTGCATAAATCTCCAGAATCATGTAATCAAACTGACATTTAAAGGGTTAAATTCCTAAAAATGATTGAATATTTTGGTAGTTGTTTCTAGACGTGAGTTTAAGAAGATGTGATTAAGGTAGATAAAAAGTAAGAGAAATATCAATCTGTTCTATTTTTATATCAGTTTTTTGGAAGTGGACATTTGTGTCCTTAGTGACTTCAGAGGGTTTTAAATGAAACTGATGCCAGAGGGTTAAATATCTGTAAACATCAGTGAAGTAAAATTCTGCTGTTTGTCCGGAGTGACTCTGGACCAATAGCAGCAGATGATGTGACACTCCAGCTTCACTCTGGGAACCTGACCTGAACCCAACGGAGACTCTCTATGAGAGGCACCAGACCCAATGACACAGACCAGCTGAAGGCCACTAACAAAGCACCCAGGGCTCCAGAACACCTCCACGCCTCATTGATGCAGTCATTCATTCAGCACGGACCGAGGACTGAGTGCATCAATGAAGAAACTTCTCAGATGAGTCTGATCGGTCTGATGAAATATTAGAATATTTTGAGATCCTGGATGTTTGATTATCAGGATCTGTGAGCCGTAATCATCAAGATTAAAACCACAAAAACTCTTCAAATATTTCACTTTATGTCTAATAAATCATAAATATGAGAGCTCAGCAGCACATTTATATTTAATAAATCATAAATATGAGAGCTCAGCAGCACATTTATATTTAATAAATCAGAATATGAGAGCTCAGCAGCACATTTATATTTAATAAATCATAAATATGAGAGCTCAGCTGCACATTTATATTTAATAAATCATAAATATGAGAGCTCAGCTGCACATTTATATTTAATAAATCATAAATATGAGAGCTCAGCTGCACATTCATATTTAATAAATCATAAATATGAGAGCTCAGCAGCACATTTATATTTAATAAATCAGAATATGAGAGCTCAGCAGCACATTTATATTTAATAAATCAGAAATATGAGAGCTCAGCTGCACATTTATATTTAATAAATCATAATATGAGAGCTCAGCAGCACATTTATATTTAATAAATCATAAATATGAGAGCTCAGCTGCACATTTATATTTAATAAATCATAAATATGAGAGCTCAGCTGCACATTTATATTTAATAAATCATAAATATGAGAGCTCAGCAGCACATTTATATTTAATAAATCAGAATATGAGAGCTCAGCAGCACATTTATATTTAATAAATCATAAATATGAGAGCTCAGCTGCACATTTATATTTAATAAATCAGAATATGAGAGCTCAGCAGCACATTTATATTTAATAAATCAGAATATGAGAGCTCAGCAGCACATTTATATTTAATAAATCAGAATATGAGAGCTCAGCTGCACATTTATATTTAATAAATCAGAATATGAGAGCTCAGCTGCACATTTATATTTAATAAATCATAAATATGAGAGCTCAGCAGCACATTTATATTTAATAAATCAGAATATGAGAGCTCAGCAGCACATTTATATTTAATAAATCAGAATATGAGAGCTCAGCTGCACATTTATATTTAATAAATCATAAATATGAGAGCTCAGCAGCACATTTATATTTAATAAATCAGAATATGAGAGCTCAGCAGCACATTTATATTTAATAAATCATAAATATGAGAGCTCAGCAGCACATTTATATTTAATAAATCATAAATATGAGAGCTCAGCAGCACATTTATATTTAATAAATCAGAATATGAGAGCTCAGCAGCACATTTATATTTAATAAATCATAAATATGAGAGCTCAGCTGCACATTTATATTTAATAAATCAGAATATGAGAGCTCAGCAGCACATTTATATTTAATAAATCAGAATATGAGAGCTCAGCTGCACATTTATATTTAATAAATCAGAATATGAGAGCTCAGCTGCACATTTATATTTAATAAATCATAAATATGAGAGCTCAGCAGCACATTTATATTTAATAAATCAGAATATGAGAGCTCAGCAGCACATTTATATTTAATAAATCATAAATATGAGAGCTCAGCAGCACATTTATATTTAATAAATCAGAATATGAGAGCTCAGCAGCACATTTATATTTAATAAATCATAAATATGAGAGCTCAGCAGCACATTTATATTTAATAAATCATAAATATGAGAGCTCAGCAGCACATTTATATTTAATAAATCATAAATATGAGAGCTCAGCAGCACATTTATATTTAATAAATCATAAATATGAGAGCTCAGCAGCACATTTATATGTCTGTCGTAGTAAAGAATCTGTAGTTATACTATAAATCCACAGGGGGGCGCTAATGCACTTCTATGGATGCCAACGAAGAAGAAGGCTGACGCAGAACCATAGCGCAGAACAGGAAGTTGTGTTTCCACCCGGACTCTCTCGTGTGATGCACCACGTGCTCGGTGTTTTGTTTCATGTTTGTGTGATCTGTGTGCGGCGGAGGATCAAAGAGAACATCATTAACTACAGACACCTTCTGCGGCTGCGCGGCTTTCTGACTCGGTAAATCAAACATCTGTTTTTATTCTTATTGAGTTTGTATCATCTGGTTATCTCTATAAACTCATCATCCGGGTCTCTGTGCTGCTGCTCTGCAGGCGGTCACTTCATGTTAGGAGCCACAGAGAAAAGAATAACAAAATGTGAAACAATAACATTTTAAAATATGTCTGTTTAGATCTCTAATGTTTGCATATCAACGTTTCAGATCTGTTTTCATCTTTATTATACAAATATTTTTATCTTAGAGGAGTTTCAGTTTGTCTGTTCAACTCTGCAGAGTTGGAAGGTTTAATAAGCCCCTCCCACTTTGCACTCAGTGTAGTGGACCAAACAGTGTAGTGGATCAAACAGTGTAGTGGATCAAACAGTGTAGTGGATCAAACAGTGTAGAGGACCAAACAGTGGACCAAACAGTGTAGAGGACCAAACAGTGGACCAAACAGTGTAGAGGACCAAACAGTGGACCAAACAGTGTAGTGGACCAAACAGTGTAGTGGATCAAACAGTGTAGTGGATCAAACAGTGTAGAGGACCAAACAGTGTAGAGGATCAAACAGTGGATCAAACAGTGTAGTGGACCAAACAGTGTAGTGGACCAAACAGTGTAGTGGACCAAACAGTGTAGAGGACCAAACAGTGTAGTGGATCAAACAGTGGATCAAACAGTGTAGTGGACCAAACAGTGTAGTGGACCAAACAGTGTAGTGGACCAAACAGTGTAGAGGATCAAACAGTGTAGAGGACCAAACAGTGTAGAGGATCAAACAGTGTAGAGGATCAAACAGTGTAGAGGATCAAACAGTGGACCAAACAGTGTAGTGGATCAAACAGTGTAGTGGACCAAACAGTGTAGAGGACCAAACAGTGTAGAGGATCAAACAGTGTAGAGGACCAAACAGTGTAGAGGATCAAACAGTGTAGTGGATCAAACAGTGTAGAGGATCAAACAGTGTAGAGGATCAAACAGTGTAGAGGACCAAACAGTGTAGAGGACCAAACAGTGTAGAGGACCAAACAGTGTAGAGGACCAAACAGTGTAGAGGATCAAACAGTGTAGAGGATCAAACAGTGTAGAGGACCAAACAGTGTAGAGGACCAAACAGTGTAGTGGACCAAACAGTGTAGTGGATCAAACAGTGGATCAAACAGTGTAGTGGACCAAACAGTGTAGAGGATCAAACAGTGTAGTGGACCAAACAGTGTAGAGGATCAAACAGTGTAGTGGATCAAACAGTGTAGAGGATCAAACAGTGTAGAGGATCAAACAGTGTAGTGGATCAAACAGTGTAGAGGATCAAACAGTGTAGAGGATCAAACAGTGTAGAGGATCAAACAGTGTAGTGGACCAAACAGTGTAGAGGATCAAACAGTGTAGAGGACCAAACAGTGTAGAGGACCAAACAGTGTAGTGGACCAAACAGTGTAGTGGATCAAACAGTGGATCAAACAGTGTAGTGGACCAAACAGTGTAGAGGATCAAACAGTGTAGTGGACCAAACAGTGTAGTGGACCAAACAGTGTAGTGGATCAAACAGTGTAGTGGATCAAACAGTGTAGTGGACCAAACAGTGTAGTGGATCAAACAGTGGACCAAACAGTGTAGAGGATCAAACAGTGTAGTGGACCAAACAGTGGACCAAACAGTGTAGAGGATCAAACAGTGTAGAGGACCAAACAGTGTAGTGGACCAAACAGTGTAGTGGATCAAACAGTGTAGTGGATCAAACAGTGGATCAAACAGTGTAGTGGATCAAACAGTGTAGAGGACCAAACAGTGTAGTGGACCAAACAGTGTAGAGGATCAAACAGTGTAGTGGACCAAACAGTGGACCAAACAGTGTAGAGGATCAAACAGTGTAGTGGACCAAACAGTGGATCAAACAGTGTAGTGGATCAAACAGTGGATCAAACAGTGGATCAAACAGTGTAGTGGATCAAACAGTGGATCAAACAGTGTAGTGGATCAAACAGTGGATCAAACAGTGGATCAAACAGTGTAGTGGATCAAACAGTGGATCAAACAGTGTAGTGGATCAAACAGTGGATCAAACAGTGGATCAAACAGTGTAGTGGATCAAACAGTGGATCAAACAGTGTAGTGGATCAAACAGTGTAGAGGATCAAACAGTGGACCAAACAGTGTAGAGGACCAAACAGTGTAGAGGACCAAACAGTGTAGAGGATCAAACAGTGTAGAGGATCAAACAGTGTAGTGGATCAAACAGTGTAGTGGATCAAACAGTGGATCAAACAGTGTAGTGGATCAAACAGTGGATCAAACAGTGTAGTGGATCAAACAGTGTAGTGGATCAAACAGTGGATCAAACAGTGTAGTGGATCAAACAGTGTAGTGGATCAAACAGTGGATCAAACAGTGTAGAGGATCAAACAGTGGATCAAACAGTGGATCAAACAGTGTAGTGGATCAAACAGTGTAGTGGATCAAACAGTGTAGTGGATCAAACAGTGTAGTGGATCAAACAGTGGATCAAACAGTGGATCAAACAGTGTAGTGGATCAAACAGTGGATCAAACAGTGTAGTGGATCAAACAGTGGATCAAACAGTGTAGTGGATCAAACAGTGTAGAGGATCAAACAGTGGACCAAACAGTGTAGAGGACCAAACAGTGTAGAGGATCAAACAGTGTAGAGGATCAAACAGTGTAGTGGATCAAACAGTGTAGTGGATCAAACAGTGGATCAAACAGTGTAGTGGATCAAACAGTGGATCAAACAGTGGATCAAACAGTGTAGTGGATCAAACAGTGGATCAAACAGTGTAGTGGATCAAACAGTGTAGTGGATCAAACAGTGGATCAAACAGTGTAGTGGATCAAACAGTGTAGTGGACCAAACAGTGTAGTGGACCAAACAGTGTAGTGGATCAAACAGTGGATCAAACAGTGTAGTGGATCAAACAGTGTAGAGGATCAAACAGTGTAGTGGACCAAACAGTGTAGTGGATCAAACAGTGTAGTGGATCAAACAGTGTAGAGGACCAAACAGTGTAGTGGATCAAACAGTGTAGTGGATCAAACAGTGTAGTGGATCAAACAGTGTAGAGGACCAAACAGTGTAGTGGATCAAACAGTGGACCAAACAGTGTAGTGGACCAAACAGTGGATCAAACAGTGTAGTGGATCAAACAGTGTAGTGGATCAAACAGTGTAGTGGATCAAACAGTGGACCAAACAGTGTAGTGGACCAAACAGTGGATCAAACAGTGTAGTGGATCAAACAGTGTAGTGGATCAAACAGTGGATCAAACAGTGTAGTGGACCAAACAGTGTAGTGGATCAAACAGTGGATCAAACAGTGTAGTGGATCAAACAGTGTAGAGGACCAAACAGTGTAGTGGATCAAACAGTGTAGTGGATCAAACAGTGTAGTGGATCAAACAGTGGACCAAACAGTGTAGTGGACCAAACAGTGGATCAAACAGTGTAGTGGACCAAACAGTGTAGTGGATCAAACAGTGGATCAAACAGTGTAGTGGATCAAACAGTGGATCAAACAGTGTAGTGGACCAAACAGTGTAGTGGACCAAACAGTGTAGTGGATCAAACAGTGTAGTGGACCAAACAGTGTAGTGGACCAAACAGTGTAGCGGATCAAACAGTGGACCAAACAGTGTAGTGGACCAAACAGTGTAGTGGATCAAACAGTGGACCAAACAGTGTAGTGGACCAAACAGTGTAGTGGACCAAACAGTGTAGTGGATCAAACAGTGTAGTGGATCAAACAGTGGACCAAACAGTGTAGTGGACCAAACAGTGGACCAAACAGTGTAGTGGATCAAACAGTGTAGTGGATCAAACAGTGTAGTGGATCAAACAGTGTAGTGGACCAAACAGTGGACCAAACAGTGTAGTGGACCAAACAGTGGACCAAACAGTGTAGCGGACCAAACAGTGTAGTGGATCAAACAGTGTAGTGGATCAAACAGTGTAGTGGACCAAACAGTGTAGCGGACCAAACAGTGTAGCGGACCAAACAGTGTAGTGGACCAAACAGTGGACCAAACAGTGTAGTGGACCAAACAGTGGACCAAACAGTGTAGAGGACCAAACAGTGTAGTGGACCAAACAGTGTAGTGGATCAAACAGTGGACTAAACAGTGTAGTGGACCAAACAGTGTAGTGGACCAAACAGTGTAGCGGACCAAACAGTGTAGTGGATCAAACAGTGTAGTGGATCAAACAGTGTAGTGGATCAAACAGTGTAGTGGACCAAACAGTGTAGTGGACCAAACAGTGTAGCGGACCAAACAGTGTAGTGGACCAAACAGTGTAGTGGACCAAACAGTGTAGAGGACCAAACAGTGTAGAGGACCAAACAGTGTAGTGGATCAAACAGTGTAGTGGATCAAACAGTGTAGTGGATCAAACAGTGGACCAAACAGTGTAGTGGACCAAACAGTGTAGTGAAAAGTCTCGAGAAATCATTGAGGGCAAGCCCTCATTTAAAATGACGTCGAGAGTACAATTAAAACGAATAAGAGACAAAAAGACAAAAAACATGGATTATAAAACGTAAGCAGGTAACTACAGTTAATAACATTTACACTCATGAGTACAGTGAGCTGTGATCAAGTTTTTAAATTGACCCATGGTAACCATTGTATTGAGTTTGAATGTGTTTTGTATTGTGTTCCAGGTGTGTGCAGCACAAAAGGTGAAGGATGTTTTCCCAAAGTTTGTTTTTACATGTGGAACCGTTAACATTAGCCAGTCACTTGATCGAGTTTGAGACTGATTATCAGCCCAGATTAATAAAGAAGTGATGTATGCTGGTAGATTACCCACAAGTGATTTATAAATAAATAGCAGCCAATGCCGTTCACGTCTAACTGTTAGTGAAGGCCAACCAACTTTATGGTACAGGATGCAATGATGAGTGGAAGATTTGTCACCAGTGATAAATCTGAGGGCGGAGTGATAAACTGTGTCTAATGATTTTAGGGTGGAGGCAGAATTATGTCTATAAATGACATCCCCGTAGTCCAGAACAGATAGGAAGATGGCTTCAATTATTCGCTTTCTACTCACTAAGGGGAAGTTCACTTTGTTTCTGTACAAGTATCCAATTCTCTGTCGTAGTTTAGTGCTTAATGTATCAATGTGAAATTTAAATGAAAGGGATTGATCCAACCAGATGCCAAGATATTTATAATGAGGTACTCTTTCAATATTGTGACCTTCCAGAGTTGTTATATGCAAGTCATTGTCTGTGGTATTTCTGGCTCATGTAAAGAGCATGTATTTAGTTTTGTCTGCATTCAGTAATCATTTTAAATCAAGGAGTGCATTTAGTAATTTGTGAAGTGCTTCTTGTAAAGTTTCCATTGCTAAGTGTACAGTCTCAGCAAAACAATACAAAACTGTGTCGTCAGCGTAGAGCTGGGCCTTACAATTTGTAAATACAGAAGCAATATTATTAATATAGATTGTGAACAGCACAGGACCCAATACAGAACCTTGTGGAACCCCTTTTGATAGTGGTAAGTATTCAGAGCGATCAGATTGTACAGTCACACATTGCAATCTATTAGACAGATAATTCTGGAACCATTTAAATGAGGAGTTGTCAAAACCAACATCATGTAGCCTCTGCAGGAGTATGGTGTGATCAACAGTGTCAAACGCTTTAGTTAAATCAACAAAGAGGGCAGCACAGTATTTCCCTTGATCAACAGCAGATACAATATTATTTATGACAAAGGTAATTGCTGATGTGGTGCTGTGTTTTTTTTCTGAACCCAGACTGGTGAGGACTTTATACAGAATTTCTTGAAAGGAATGATTTTAGTTGATTGTTGACTAATGTCTCCAGGATTTTAGAGAGGCTGGACAGTTTGGAGATCGGCCGGTAGTTGTTGAATTTGTTTTTGTCGTCGTCCTTATGCAGAGGGACGATGTGTGCTGACTTCCTAACCTGAGGGACAACTCCAGTGGTGATTGAAAGATTACAAATATAGGAAATTTGTTCCTTGATTAGAGGGGCACAGAGTTTTAAAAAGTACGGCTCTAGATTATCTTCTCCCCTTGCTTTCCTAATATCTATAGAGTGCAGAGCCTCCATTACAGCAGAAGAAGTGAAAGCCTGTATAGTAAATTTCGGGGAATGGTTGTGGGAATATGAATATGAGCCAGCGGCCGGATATTAACAGTGTTTCCAGAGTACAATGTTTCAAACTGACTCCCAGAAGCAGCAAAATGGAGGTTAAAGGCACGGCAAATATCTGAAGTTTTATTTGTTTGGCCTTCATTTAAAATAACATAAGAAGGGAGAGATGGGGAGGATTTATATTTGTTTATATTCACTGCTTTCCAGAATTTTGATGGGTTTGAAGAGCAACTAGAAATCAACTCCTGGTGATAAGAGGTTTTAGCTTTTCTCAGTGAATATGTGCATTTATTTTTGAGTTGTCTGAATAAAAGCCAATGGGCTGCTGTGCCTGTCTTTCTTGCCAAAGCCCAGGCTTTGTCCCTTTCCTTTAAGAGTAATGATAATTCAGTGGAGAACCATGGGCTTGATCTATCTTTAACCTTAACTTCTTAAAAGGTGCATGCTTGTCAATCATTTTAAGAAATGTATTTGTAAACTATTCAAGTGCATGATCCACATCAGGTATTTCAGATGTTTGACATATATTACTGTTCACAATGTCATTAAAAAACACCTGTTCATTAAAATTTCTGAAATTTCTCTTGAGTACAATCCTGGGCTTAGATTTTGCTAGTCTAGCACTCTTTGTATGCCAGAGGACAACGGTCACTGATGTCGAGGGAGAAGACCCCAAAGGCTGTAATTTTGTCCCTTCTATTGGTAAAACTTAGATCAATCAATGTTGATTTTGAGTGATCTTTCAAATTAGGTCTAGTTGGCTTAGTTATGATCTGTGATAGGTTTAGATTGTCACACATCTCCTTTAAGCTCAATGAATCATTTGACAACCAATTTAAATTAAAATCACCCAAAACATGGATTTCTGAAGTACTGAACTGAGAATCGCCTGCTGATATTGAAACGTTCTGTGTTTGTCATCAGGCATGTCTCAGGACAGTCAACACGGCAGGTGGACCGTCTCCAGCAGCGATGAGGACGACGAAGGTCTTCCTCCTTCTGGGACTTCAACGTCTAAGCCCCGCCCCCCTGTTGATCCCAGTAACAGATCCCATCGGTCCCCCAGTCCGCCCAGCCTCAAAGTGAAACCAGAGCCAGACTATGCCCCTGTAAGCTCGCTTGTGATTGGCTCTGAGGCCAGACAGTCGGCAGCGGTGAACAATCCGTCATTGGCTGGGAAGAGAAAGAAGGAGGAGTCAGAGGGATCAGGCTGGGCCCTCTCTGACAGCGATGATGAAGACGTCGATTTGAGGAGGAAGAGTGTCGGTAACCCGCCGAAGAGAGCGCCCCCTAGCCCCAAAACCAAAAAAACAAAGGTGGAGAACGAGCGCCCGCCAAGTCCTCACGGCCGGGTTTACTACATCGACGAACCAGACGACTTCTTTGAAACCAGTCTTCCCAGTGCGAGCGACCCCTACAGGTTTTACCTGAACAAAGTGACTGGCCTGGACAGACGGTTCAACACGGGAGCGCTTCACATTAGAGGTGAGGAGAGGTTAAAGAAGACTCAGGTGCAGTTCCACAAGTGACCACTAGAGGCTGGCTGCACAAAGGAATCCCCATTAGACCCGCAACAGAAATAAACGTGTTCACATCCTGGTACTTAAAAGGGTTTTAGTCTGGTTAGTTTGTGTTTTAATATTTCTGATCTGAAGGCTGAAATGATGATTTATAAATGTTTGCATACTTAGGGGCGGGGCTAAAGACTGCTTTTGTTTGCTGTAGCTCGGCCGTTATCATGTGTTTGTACGTTCATGTTAATTCAGTGATGGCGTTCTATTGGCGTCCCAGTCTGTCAGGTCACTTTGCATTTCTGCGTTGAAGAAGCACGCCACAGGAGGAGCTACACACACACACACACACACACACACACACACACACACACACACACACACACACACACACACACACACACACACACACACACACACACACACACACACACACACACACAGTGCTGCTCTCCCCTGCTGGCTCAGCTGATCCCGTCTCTCCTCTGTAACGCCTCGGTTGTCACCTCTTTCCTCCATTACGCCTCCACGATATTCAGACTGAAGGCGAGACGTCACAGAGGCGTAAAAATCTAAAAAGTGAGTCTCTCTGCTACTCATCCCAACGTTATGCCCCGCCCCCTATCTTCTGATTGGTTCTGTCCCATCTGAACACGGCAGTGAGATACTCTGGACGTTCTGTTTCACAGGGACTTTAAAACAAGAAATCACCAAAATATTCTGAGCCCAGGACTTCAGGTTTCCTTCCTGTGGTATCAATATCCACATAATGAGAAGTTTCATATCTGAGTGTGGTGTGAACCTCGTTCACCTCTTACCCTCAGTCTTTATACTGAACTCTAATCTTCACTCTTTCCTTCTTCATCCAGACATCCTCTCTCCTCTGTTCGGGACCCTGAAAGAGTCGGTTCAGGTCAGTATGGACGCAAACTTGAAACGGTTTCATATCCTGTTTTTTATTTACACATGCAGCACGGCTGATCAGCACAAATCTTCATCATTTATTTATTCATTCAAATTCTTTTTTTTTTTCTTCATATTTTTATTAAAGTAAGTTGAAGACATACAGTGCCTTTGGGATGCAGTCAACATTTTTCTTTTTCTCCCCAGAAATATTCAAAAACCCAGTATCACGTCTCCCTCCCAGTCCAACAAATAGACCTCTCAGTTTAAAGACAAGAGTGGAAAACTCACAAAAAATAAATTACAATAGCTAAATAAAAATAAATAGAAAATCATGAAAATATAAAAGTACATTTGAGAAGAGTAGTATCAAAACATAATAATAAAATAATAATACAAAATGACGAGATAAACATAAATGAATGAACAGACAACATTAAGAGGAATGAACATTATTATTTTTTTTTTTAAGATTTATTTTGGGCTTTTTTCGTGCCTTTAATGCAGAGATAGGACAGTGGATAGAGTCTGAAACCAGGGAGAGATAGGACAGTGGATAGAGTCTGAAACCAG